GGTTTTCCAGGGCCATTGCTCCCTGAAACCTCTCTGAAGGGGCCAGGTTCTGGCGCTGGTCCCTGGTAGGTCTGAACTCCTTAGCTAATGTCCCGGTCTAATATAACATACATTAGCCCGATAAGCTCCAGGAAGCCTCCAGGGCTCACCCAGAAAATGGCGTTTCATTACATTCAACGCTGGGTTTTTTTTCACAAGTTTAGAAGCATAATGGATATTTTGGTAGACTGGGAGGTCTACAGTCATGCCACCTTTGCTGTGAAGTCCTCAATTTGGCAGTTCTTTGTGACCCTGTGGGACTTTGGGGAGCTGGTCGGCCGAGCGGACAGCACGCTGGACTTGTAATGCTGTGGTCCCGGGTTCGATCCCCGGGCGCCGGCGAGAAACAATGGGCAGAGTTTCTTTCACCCTATGCCCCTGTTACCTAGCAGTAAAATAGGTACCTGGGTGTTAGTCAGCTGTCACGGGCTGGATGTGGGGGTGGAGACGTGGTCGAGGACCGGGCCGCGGGGACACTAAAAAAAAAAAAAGCCCTGAAATTATCTCAAGATAACCTCAAGATAAGATAACCCTGTGGAACCACTTGGAGATGAAACATTTTAGCCCAACTGCATTCTTTGGCCTTTTTGGCAATCTTCCACTTTTCCTCCAAAGCCCCGAAATCATCTCAAGATAACCTCAAGATAAGATAATCCTGTGGAACCACTTGGAGATGCAACATTTTAGCCCAACTGGCAATCTTCCACTTTTCCTCCAACGTTTCCTCTCTCTTGTCATTCATTTCAAGTGAGGATTGGTGCTGCTTTGTCAAACATTTTTTGAACAGTATGAAGGTATCCCCCTATAGTAGTGTTTTGAGCACCACTCTGTCCTGGTGGCCATGAAGGGTCTTCTTTCCATCCTTCCCCGTTGTATTTTCTCTGCCCTTTATGTGACAATCTCGCCCTCTGCTGTCATGGTGACCACTCCTCTTCCCTCTATCACTTCTCTTTGTTATGGAATGTGGAACATATTGGAGGAGTGACAGGTAGGCTTCTAACATGGATGAAAAATTTTCTAGCTGACAGAAAAATAAGGGCAGTAATCGGTGACAATGTATTGGACTGGAGAAATGTCACGAGTGGAGTACCACAGGGTTCAGTTCTTGCACCAGTGATGTTCATTGTCTACATAAACGATCTATCAGATGGAATACAGAATTTTATGAACATGTTTGCTGATGATGCTATGATAATAGTGGGAAGATAAGAAACTTTGATGAGTGTCATGCCCTTCAAGATGACCTGAACAAAATAAGTGTATGGAGCTCCACTTGGCAAAAGGAATTTAATGTGAATAAGTGCCATGTTATGGAATGTGGAATAGGAAAACATAGACCCCACACAACCTATAAATTATTTGAGAAATCTTTAAAGAAGTCTGATAAGGAGAGAGATGTAGGGGTGGTTTTTGATTGAAAACTCACCTGAGGACCACATAAAGAACGTTGTGCGAGGAGCCTATGCTACGCTTTCTAATTTCAGAATTGCCTTTAAATACATGGATGGCGATATACTAAAGAAATTGTTCACGACTTTTGTTAGACCAAAGCTGGAATATGCAGCGGTTGTGTGGTGCCCATATCTTAAGAAGCACATCAACAAACTGGAAAAGGTGCAAATACATGCAACTATAAATGGTTCCCAGATCTGAAGGAGAAGAGCTACGAGGAGAGGCATTAAATATGCCAAAACTAGAAGATCGAAGAAATAAGGGATATGATCACTGTGTATAAAATAGTAACAGGAATTGAATTCTTGAAGGAAGAATTCTTGAGACCTGGAACTTCAAGAAAAGGAGGTCGTAGATTTAAACTAACTTAACAAAGCTGTCAAAGAAATATAAGAAAATTCACTTTGCAAACAGTGGTAGATGGTTGGAACAAGTGAGAAGGTGGCTGAGGCCAAAACCGTCAGTAGTTTCAAAGCTTTATATGAGAGTGTGCTGGGAAGATGGGATACCATGAGTGTAGCTCTCATCCTGTAACTACACTTAGGTAATTACTAGCTCCAGCTTGTGATCGATAGTGTGTCATCCTGGGCCACTACTCATCATAGTTTCAAATTCTCTGACTAAAAGTTGTCTGACTTTTACTGGAAGGCATGTCACTCTTTGTCCCCTTTTGTCACCATATGGTAATCACCTTCTGTATAGTAATGTGCCAAACTCTTGGGGTTGTCTTGATCACCTCATATTACTCTCCTCTTAAGTTGATTCTTCCAAGACCCTTACCTAGCTTAGTCTTGTTCCATAGTTTCTCAGGACTGATAGATGCATATTGCTGTATTTGCCTTCTTCTCTTGTTATATCTAAACTCAGTTATGGCTGCCACACATGTTCCTCTGCCTCTCCCTCAACTCATCATCTTGATGCTCTGCACTATACTGGTTTATGCCTCACCACTGTTGCCTTTCATTCATCCCTCACCCCTGACACTGAATTTGGTGTCCAGTCTACAGGATTGATGAAATTGTTACTGATTTTGCTCTCTTGCATGATCTCTGCAACATCCCCACTTCTGCTCATGGTCTGCTTGTGCTCTGACCATCACTGCTCTGGAGGAGCGGCTGGAACTTCAGTGAGAGAGAGATCTCATATGCACACGGAAGATACTGGAAAGATAGGTTCCAAACCTGCACAATAAAATAAAAAGTACTGGAGTCAGCGATGTGGTAGAAATTGCAAAATTAATCCAATGAAAAGCTGGGTGCCATAAGCACAAAAGAAAAGTGTAAGAATCAGATGGCCAGAAGTTTTTAATCTTGTGCCATCAAATACAGGCATACCTCAGAATAAGAGTTTAATCCGTTCCTGGAGACGCCTCGCCTTCCGAAAACTCGCATTCCGAAGTTAATTTCCCCATAAGAAATATAGGGAAATGAATTAATCCGTTCCTGACTACCCCAAAAACCCCACATCAAACTAAATTTTTATACCTAATTTACCTAATTCATCTAAATAAACCTACAAAACTGTGTTCCAGTTATTACTTACCTTGCTGTCGAGTGCTGTAGGCGTATGGAAGATGGTGAGGAGGGGGGAGGAGGAGAGGAGTTACTGTTTGGAAGGGGAGTCCCCTTCCATAATCACATCACATAACCCCATGCCTTGTAACACTATGGATACCACTTCTCTTTCTAAATTTTTCAAACCAGCCCCTGCTTGCCTTAAACTCTTTCTTATCTGCATCACTCGTTGCAGGGGTATTCTTTAGAAGGTCTTCGTGCAACACCCTGGCTTTCTCACAAATAATGGCCTCCGAAACACTATCACCCCTCAACTCCTTGTCGTGTATCCAAATTAATAACAACTTTTCCACTTCTTCAAGTATTTGTGGTCTTTGTGCCGTTAATGTTCTTACTCCTTTTGCCACTTTAGCACCCATAATCTTATTTTTCTTCTTAAGTATAGTGCATATTGTTGATGTGGCTTTGTTGTACTGCCTACAAAGTTCAACAACACGTGTACCGTTCTCATGCTTCCGAATGATCTCTTGTTTCTCCTCTATTGTCATCCTCACATGAGCTTTCTGGCCTTTATCCTTACCACTGGCTTTCTTGGGACTCGTGGTGAGATATATAATAACAAATTGTATAGACAAATCACCAAAAATCCAACAAAACACTGAAAATCCGCGAGAAGAATTGATGTGGGGGTAGTCACTGAGCGCGAGACAATGGTAAACTGAGGGGCGGAGGGGCGACGATCGCCGAACCACCACACGCTAGGTCCGCCTGTACGCGTATCAACAAACTCGCGTCCCGAAGTAACCCTCGCCTTCTGAGACAAATTTTTGGAGTAAATACTGCTCGCCTTCCGAAAACCTCGCATACAGGGACAATCGCATTCCGAGGTACCACTGTATAAGATTTTCTGGAATAGTAATAATATTTTAAAAGAAAACTAGACAAGTTTGTGCTGGAGTTACCAGGGACCATATTCACGAAGCAGTTACGCAAGTACTTGTGAACTTGTACATCTTTCCTCAATCTTTGACGACTTTGGTTACATGTATTAAACCGTTTGCAAGCATGAAAACTTCCCAATCAACTGTTATTGTTATAAACAGCCTCCTGGTGCTTTGGAGCTCATTAACTGTTTAATAATTGTAAATAAAGCCACCAAAGTTTGAGAAAAGATAGACATGATCGTAAGTGCTTGCATAACTGCAACTGCTTTGTGAATCTGACCCCCTGATCATCCTGGCTGTAATGGTTATACGAGACTATGAAGATCCCTGGCCTCACAGACCATTCAATCACCAGGAAAAAGCTGGCCACTTGGTCATGCTGTGGGAATAGAAGAATTCTTAAAATCAACAACAGGTAATAAGAAAAAGTAAGAACACATCACATCAGTCATCACACAGTGATGACTGTGATGCTATGCATCGGCATGAAATAATGCCAATTAAGTCGAATGTATAGTCATGAATCGATGGGCGAAGAGGTAATCTCTCTATTCTAGTTCAAGGTTGTGTGTGTTCTAGAAGAGTTCCAAGAGATGAGTATCTTGGCATTGGCTGACTCCCACATTCATAAGTGCAAAGCCAGGATCTCTTGGAAGCCTAGTGAGGTGTGCTGGTCCTGGATTTGGCCTGCTATGGTGTCCCCCATTGCTTTTAGCTAGAGAGTGGATGTAAGCCTGCTGTAGTGGCACCCCTTTACTCTTTGATGGAGAGTGGCTGTAGTGGCTAGACTTGTAGGCATGCTACATTTAATTATTTTCAGGACTTCCTTTATTACCTCTTCTTCAGTTACTATTTTTTTCACCAGTCATTCCTCTTTTTCACCATAATCGCTCTACTTTTCCTACCACTACCACTATCATTATTCATTATACAGTACACTCTTAGCCATCTAATTTCACATACATTAAGTAAACATTCAAGTATTCATTTATTAATGAGAGTTATACTTTTGTGTGTGCCATCTTAACGGAATCATAACTCTTTATTACAGGAGAATCAGTTTGGCTGACTCATTTCTTGCGGCTGATAGTGTTTTAATATTGGTGCAAAACATCGCAGAGGGATTAGTAGTGTACCCTAATGTAATTCAACGCCACATTGCTCAGGAACTCCCATTTATGGCTTCAGAGAACATCATCATGGCAATGGTCAAGGCTGGAGGCAATAGACAAGTAAGAACTAATTACTTATGTTTCAGAGTATATTAAGTTACATAAAATGAACATCCTTTTTTCTCCAATTATTACATGTATTTCTGGGGAAAGTCCTGTCAGCTCCCCGGAGTTATCCAGGCTGATATGGTATTATTAGCCTTCTGGCATTAATCAAAGTGCATGGAGTTCTTGCCTACAGGGGACCACGAGCCAGAACCTGGCCCCTTCAGAGAGGCACGAGGAGCAATGGAATATAGAAACCCCTAATGTGGTTGGGAGCAATCTATGTCTGCCATCGACTGGGTCTGGGTACCCAGAAAGGTAGGCACCCCAAAACAAACCTCTATTCTGGTGAAAATATTGCTACCGAAAGCCGATCGAGTGAACAGAATTCCCCAAACAAAAATTAGCAAACGAGCATGACGTCATCACATCATGAGCAACGTCATGGGGGATGTCTGCACAACCCTCCCCCTTCCCAGGAGGGGGGGGTGATGTCTGCACAACCCCCCCCTCCCCGGGAGGGGGAAGGGGGAGCCCTAGACCCTCGCACCAGCAATCCAACTGTCAGTTCTTGGCTGATGTGATACTGGCAGTCATGTGTCTCTGGCTCCTGCTTTAATTTCAGTTTGTGCCTTGTGACATGGTCTGTCTCTACAGGTGGTGTGTGAACCAGGAGTAGTATTCCACGGTACTTGGGCTGCATGCGCCTAGGGTTTCCTTCCCTAGGTGCCCAGTAAGTACTGCCCTTGAGGCTTGGGGCCTCCTTCCACAAGTCATCTTAGGATCTACCTCCACTGTGTCTTTTACTGCTCAGTACTTGACCACCCTTGGAGTCAGGTGGGGTTTTGTTGTCCTTGTTTGCCTCTGGGTAGGAGATTTTTTGGTTTTGGGCGCTGGTTCGCAGTACCCTGCCTGGGCTTCCTTTAGCGTCTTATCAAGGCTAAGGGCCTTGGGAAACCCCCACAAGGACTCCATGGTCCAATGGATGTGACCCTTGAGTCCCTTCTCACTTCGTGCAAGGTTGATGGTTGCTCTGTCCCCTTGTTTCAAGGTGGTAATCACTGGTTGTGCCTCCGCCATGCTGCCTGTAGGGTCGGTGATTCTTTTGACCCCGACTCGTGCGACATTTGTTTGTACGTGCTCCAGTTCACCCATGCTACTGATTGTGATGTGAGGGTGCAGGCAGTAGCTGCATTGCATGCTAGGTTCAGGCTGCTGCAACGCAATAGATTCGTTGCTTCCCCGGATACCCCGACACTGCCCCGTTTTTGTTATAGGGACCCGGACTTTGGAGTGGGGAGTCTCTTCGACTTTGGTTCAGTCCACTCCTCCTTGTCCTTTCCCTTTTAGTTGTTCATCCGGTTCCTTCCCCCTCTTGCTTCCGGCTCTGAAACGTCTGAGGGTTTCGGAGTCGGGGCAGGGTCTAGTTGGTGTTGAGACTCGGGCGGTCTCGGGAGTCCCCTTCCGGGGTGGCGGCAGAGGCATTCAGGCCTAGTCCTCCTGATGAGACCTTGAAGCCGGGGCTTCTGGGACTGGTCAGTGGGCCCCATTCATTCCTGATTTTTCGGCTGCTCCTACCTTTTCTTCAGAGGCAGGGGGTTTGGAGGCCGGCTTGGCCCCAGGTCCTCGGGGTGAGGTTCCCAGGGCAGGGGAGGGGGTTGACTTGAGGGCCTGTTGGACCACCCCTGGGTTTTTGTTGACTTGAAATGGGGCTTGGTGTTACAAGGAGAGGGGTTCTCTTTCGCTCCCACCTCGTACAAATTGGATTTGGCGTTTACCGCTCCCCGTGTTTGGTTCCTTGATCCCGTGGGTTCCTCAGTCCCGTCACATGGTGCGGGAAGCCTTGCGGCATACCTCCTACACGACCCAGATTATGCTTTCGTGATGGACCCACGTTCCTTCGTGTATGGATCTTCGTGTCCGTACTGGGTTCGTTATGGAGTTCCGGAGTCATCCAGGTTAGAGGACTGCCCGCTCTTCTCTTTGGAGGTGTGGCATACGTTCTGTCGTTTCAGCGCGCTTGAGTGACGGAGGCACAGATGGCGTTGCAGGTTTTCCCTGGGGGCGAATTTGAGCATCTCAATGCATGTTTGTTCACCACTGTCCTTCCGCGGGATGTTGGTGTGATGCAGCTTCATGTTCAGGTTCCTTCCTTTTTGGCTGTATTGGTTGTGGTGGGTTTGCATACACGTGGCATGCTGGCTTCAGCCCTGTGTATCTTCTCCCTCCTCGAGCTGTCCCTGGATTGACTTTAGTTGGGTGTGAAGGAGCTTGGGGCCGCCTCTGGGTTTAGTGCGTTGGCCTCAACGCACCAAACCCAAACACCGGGTTTGAGCACCTGACAGCTGGGTGGACAGCGCTTTGGATTCGTAGTCCCGAGATTCTGGGTTCGATCCGCGGTGGAGGCGGAGACAAATGGGGGAAAATGTTTCTTTCACCCTGATGCCCCTGTTACCTAGCAGAAAATAGGTACCTGGGAGTTAGACAGCTGCTACGGGCTGCTTCCTGGGGGTGGAGGCCTGGTCGAGGACCGGGCATCATCTGCATTGAAGCTGTTCGCGCTGCTCCTACGGGATGCAGTTTCACATTTTTTGCTTCTCGACTCGCGTGTTAGCAGGTGGTGCTCGCTTCTTCTTTGGAATCCGCTTGGGCCCTGGCTCTTAGGTTGTCTTTGCCTTCTGTTCGTTGCTGTTTGCAGAGTCTGCGGTTGTGCAGTATCTGCAGGCAGCTTCGGCTAGTTGCTATCCTATGTCTGACTTGTTAATCCTCCAGGGGGCTCGTGGGGGTGGGGGGGGGCCTTCCTGGAAGGGCCTCGGGGTTTTTCCCGTCGTGGTAGGCCAGTTTTGCCAGATTCAGGGAAGACGCAGCCTTTGGTACCGTCTGTTTCTGGTTGGCGTGGGGATCACCCTGTGCGACACTTAGGTTCCTGTCTGATGTGTCAGCCCTTTCACGGTTCGTCCCATTGATGGGGTGATGCGGGGGGGGGGATGGCATTACTCCATTTGCTCATGCCAAGTTCCTCGAATTGTGGGGCTTTTGGGTAGTTTCGTGTTGCCTGTGGTGGCGTTGGGTGGCTTCTCCTCTTTCAGGGGGTTCGGGACTGGCAGGGCAGGCCTCTTTCTCCTGCGCTCTGTAGTCATTTTGGAGTGGGTTTGCTTGGGCGTGGTCGACACGTCCTTGTCTCTCAGGTGGGGTTCCTGCCTGTTTCCAGTCCCAAAATGGATCTGCGCGGACCTCCGGTTCATTCTGAACTTGTCCCGTCTGAACCCCTGGGTTCATTGCCCCTCCTTTCAGGTGACTACTCTGTCCCAGGTCTGTCTTCTGTTGGAGCCGGACACTTGGATGGTGTCCCAGGACCTCAAGGATGCGTATTGGCACTTCCCGATTTATCCGGGGTTCAAGGACTGGCTCGGTTTTGTTGTGGGGCGTCAGGGTTACCGCTTCCGTTGTCTTCCCTTCGGTTTGAATTTGGCGCCTCCTGTTGTCACATGACTTACTTGGGTCGTGTGGCCCGCCTGCGTCTCTTAGGTGTTTGGGTTCTGGCCTCCGACAACTGGCTGGTTTTGACAACTGGCTGGTTTTGACAACTGGCTGGTTTTGGCTATCTGCCAGTTCGCGTGTCTGCTCGCTGTTTTTTTTTTTTTTTGTGAACTGGCGGCAGTCCCATCTGGTTGCCTCTCAGGTACTGGCGCTGCTTGCTCGGTGTCTTAACCCAAGGGTGTTCCCGTGGCTCCGCCTCTTTCAACAGATTGGTCCAGCGCAGTATGAGGCTCATCGTTATTTTCTACTAGTCTTCGCGTATGGAGTTTCTGACTCGAGTCTATCACTTTCATGGGGCACAGGTGACCCAGTTGTTGGTCACCCACCTGTGTCTTTCATCTTAGTGGCAGTATGGAGTTTCTTGGTGGTCCTTCTGGTTTTCCTATCACTGCGTAGGTGTGCTATGGTGTCTGATAATGTTGTCTTCTCCTTCCTGTCGTGGTTGTTTCAGGACCATCATCTTATTTCGAATACTGTCGCCTCGTATCGTGCAGTGCTGGTGGAGCCGCTCCTTCGTGCGTTCGGTATTGATGTTACATCTGCTCCATTCCGCAAGCTGTTTCGTGCGTTTTCACTTCCTGCCTGCTCGTGTATCGGATGGCCGTCCTGGTTTTTGGACTGGGCGCTCTAATTTTTTTCTTCTCGGTTGTTGTAGCCCCTTCGGTTCCGGTTTGTTTTTCTAAGGCTCTTTTTTTTTTTTTTTTTTTTTTTTCTCCTGTTGGCTTTGGCCTCTTGGGGTCGGGTCGGGAAGCTTCATGCTCTCCTCCGGTGCTAATGTGTTTCTGCTCATTTGGTCCTGGTGTTGGATTTGTTCATTTGCAGCTGTCTCCTTCTTTTCTGGCGGTGAATGGGTCTTCTGCTCTCCAGAGGGCTCCTTGGGTGGGTGTTGTCTGGTTGATCAGGCCGGAGGTGCATCATGTGTTGTTGTCTGGTTGCGGCTATCTGCTGTTCTCTGCACTTCATGGCCTCTGTGACCGTGGACACACTTTGGGTTGCCAGGGTTGTTACAACCCTTGAGACTTAGTACGGTTCTTTTCCCGCAGTGATCACAATATATTATATCGGCCTTGCCAACAGGTGTCTAGGGGGGGTGAAAGGAAACACTGCATAAATTGGGAAAACAATGTAACTACGCTAAGAGTGACAAACGTAACAATTAAATGGTACAGATAATAGCCAGAAATATTCTTCAGCATGCAATAATATAAATAAAAATCCTTATTGAGCAATGACCATAATCACCAGCACATGAATTATTAAATGGGATAATTGCACAATCATCTAACCAGAGAATTAACTGAGTATTGTTACGGTGCCCTCTCCTATTTCTTTCGTTTGCCGGCTTAAAGAGTCATATCAGCTCTCCCTACTGATTCTCTGAGGTTCAGGGAGTCTAATGATATATGTGGCGACCAGACCGGCTGCCATTTAATGGAAGGAGGTTATATTATAAGTTGTAAATAAAGGAAAATTGG